GTTACTCAGAGCCGAGGCAACCATCTAGCAGTATGTCAACAGGGAAAAAGAGAAAAACAAAAATAAAACTCAGGTTGGCAAACTTTTGTGGGGAGCCTTTTATGGAAGAAACACCATGAAAATTGAGACTTATTTAGCCCCATGTTCTCCTGTCTTTTGCCTTCTTTTTCTTATCAGACCGATTTTAGTCACACACCTCTTCTCTCTCCTTCACACCACATCAGCTCTTGTTTGAAGAATGAAAACAACAGCTGAACAGTATGATTCAACTAGTGCAGAGAAAGAAGCTAAAATTGACCAGTCAGGAAATGAGGCATGCATTAATAATTTTCTTTTGCATCATTGTTTTTGAAAACATCCAAATGCAATTAACTGTTGTCTATGAAATAAAACAAATTCCTAAAAAGGAAAAAGAAAACACTGGACTACTCTTTCGTCCCACACTGACATTTATGGGGCACTTATTATATGCTTAACACTTTATTAGGAACTTACCATACACTGTCTCATCAAATGACTTTCCATTGCCCTTCGAATAAAATTTTAACTCCTGCCTGGCTGGAGTGGCTCAGTGGTTGAGCATAGACCCATGAACCAGGAGGTCAGGTTCAATTCCAGGTCAGGGCACATGCATGGGTTTTGGGGCTTGCTCCTCACCAGGGAGTGTGCAGGAGGCAGCTGATCAATGATTCTCTCTCATCTCTGATGTTTCTATCTCTCTCTCCCTCTCTCTTCCTCACACTGAAATCAATAAAAATATCTAAAATTTTGTTAACTCCTTCCAAAGCCCATTATACCTAGTGTGATCTGGCCTACCTCTCCAATTATCCACTGCCATCTCTGCTTTGTGAGCCATCCTGACCTTTTTCTGTTTATGAAACACTAGAGGCCCGGTGCATGAAAATTCATGCACTGGGGGCGGGGGGAGTTTCTCAGCCTGGCCTGCCCCCTCTCACAGTCTGGGAGCCCTCAGGGGCAGGAGGCCTCCCAGTGATCAGGGAAAGGTGACTCTCCCATCACACTTCTGCTGCTGCCACTGCTGGCAGTGCAAGCCTCGACTGGCCCTGGTTACCTGAGCCTCGGGCCAGCCCTGGGCGGCTGGGGGGCTGAGGAGACTGTGGGACTCTGGAGGCAGGTGTGCGAAGCGGCTGAACCCGCTGGGGGTGGGCCTGGCCAAGCCACACGCCTGCCGCCCTGGTGGGGCTGAGGGGACTGGGTGCCACCATCTTATGGTTGTGGGTGCTGCCATTTTTTGAGGGCGTAGCAGCCAATTAGCATATTCCCTCTTTATTGGCTGTGGGTACTGCCATGTGAGGGCGTGATGGTCAATTAACATATTCCCTCTTTATTAGATAGGATACCCAGCATGTTCCTGCATCAGGGCTCTTGCACATGGCATTACCTCTGCCTGACATGCTCTTTCCTTGGTTTTCACATGTCTGATATGTTCTCATCAATCAGAACTCAGTTAAAATACCTCTTCCTCTGAGAGTCCTTCCTTGACTCTCCTGCCTAAAATAGCATCTCTCCTTCTACCCCTCGTCACCTATTCTAGTGCCCTACCTTATTTTTTCCCCCCATTGAATGTATAGCATCTGAAATTCTCTCTTTTTTTTGTTTGATTTTGATCCATCTGCTCCCACTAGATTTTTCCTCTGTGGCTTGTTCATTGCTATATCACAAACATTTGGAAAAATGGCCGGCACAAAGTGGCTGCTCAATAGTGTTTGTTGAAAGAATGGGGAGAGAACACTCAGAATGGAGAGATAATCTTACAAGGCAGAGTACATATTATTTACAAGGATCAACATCCTTCAGCCAAAGACCACCAAGATCATACTGGTAGTTGAACTAGTTGGGTTTATTCCTCATTGCACACCATGGGGGACCATGATGTATCTCAGTCACAGGGTATTAGAAAGGACCGTAAAGGTTTGGGGTTTGAGTTGGATGATTTTGGTTGGAGTTTAAGAAAGCAGGATTTGCCCGGTCAGCATGGCTCAGTGGTTGAGCATAAGCCTATGAACCAGAAGGTTATGGTTGGATTCCCCATCAGGGCACATGCCTGGGTTGTGGGCTTGATCCCCAGTTGGGGGCGTGTAGGAGGTAGCTGACCAATGATTTTCTCTCATCATTGATGTTTCTATCTCCCTCTCCCTTCCTCTCTGAAATCAATAAAAATATATTAAAAGATAAAGAAGAAAGCAGGACCTTTTTCTGGATTGGATGTGGTCAGGAAGCAGGGACTAGTCTTAATAAATCTCATCTATGAGGCAGAAAGACTGGAATGGAGCTAAAAGTGTAACTGTAAGCAAGTAGCAGTCATCCATATTAGCCAGGATTGGGTGGAGTGTGGTGTTTTTGTGGTTTACCAGTGACACTGTTTTTGTCAGACTTAGACAAGATTGCTGAGTGGTCTTATTTGGCCTCACTTTAGCCCAGTTGTAGAGTGGCCTTATCTGATGACATTGGTGTCTGTGCAGCTGTGTTTAGTGGGAGAGCGCGAAGGCCTAGCTGTGTCAGGCCCGTTTCTGGATGCCGGGGTCTGTTTTTCTCTTTCTGGTGAGTGTCTTAGGGCTGGAGTCCAGTGTAAGTCCAGAAATAAGCAGGAGTATTTCTTTTGGCTGTTTGATAGTCCCCCTTTCCTCCCTGCTAATTCTGGGTTTGTATGGGGGTAGCCACTGAACCAAGATAATGGAGGCCAAGGTAGAGAAACTGCTTCTAGAAGTCAAATAACTCAAAAACACCCTTATCTGTCCAAGAATTAATTACCGTCTCAGCACATGCCTAGGTGTATCTAATTTTCAAATGATGGATGACACTCCTGAGCGATAGGTTTGTTTACCCGATCCTCACTCTTGCCTTGCAGGTCATGTTGAACAGTCCACCAGGGCCTTGGTTCTGCTTCAAGGCTTTCTCTAAGTTACAACAGAGTGGTTTGAGGAAGTCTTTTAACCAGTATCCCTTCTGGGCTCCCAAAGCACCCTGTATTCCTCTGGTAACATTCCTGCTACATTGCAATTCATTTGTTTATAATCAGTCTGCCTGGTTAGACTGGCTCCCACATGTTTGTATCCTTGGAACTTAATTTTAACAAAGGACTTGGCACAGGCTAGGCTCTCTATAAATATTAAAAGGGTTTAAAATGGAGATTTAATTCCTGGCTTGAATTCATCTCACAAAACATTTACCGAGTCTGTACTATGAGCCAGGACATTATGATAAATCAGCCAGTCCTTACCTTCAGGGAATTATTAATCATTTCTAATAGATTTAAGGAAAAGAAGAATAGCTGGCTTTTTTTTTTTTTTAAAGGATCAGGCACTGTGTCAGGTGTTAGGTTTATCTGAATTATTATTGCAATTTCTCAGGTAAAACAGCAGATACACTAATGAGTTAAGTAACTTTGCTGAGGTCAGGAGGGGCAGAGCAGGAATTTTAGCCTGGAAGATCTGATTCTAGTAACACTCGCTCAATTTTTAGACTGAAAGGTGCCATGCAAATTCACAGTTCTGCCACTTAGAGTGGAGGTCCTGTATCCAGGTGATCGAAATGGTGGCATTTATTTTAAAGAGGAATAAGTTAATATGACCAACATTGGACCAACATTATGTTCTTTATTAACCAGTGTGGATGCAGGAACAGAGATGCATTAGCTCCCTGTTAAAGCATACATGAATTTCGGTTTGGCTTCAGATCTGATCATTATATACCATTTTATTGGGCTCCCACTGCGCGCAAAACAAGTGTTCCCTGCCACTTCCTCTGCTCCCCACATCCCGGTGGGGAAGGAAAAGAGAAGGCGAAAAGGTTGTGCAGGGTGAGCAAGTGAGCATCCCGAGCTCCTAGGCCACAGCCCCGCTTCCGCACCGGCCACACCCCTCAGCCTCGCCCTAGCCCCCCAAACCCAATTTAAACTCCCGCCCCCTCCGAATGACAAC